TCTTGTACCCATACATTTGATAAAAACAATAAAACCTTACATTCATCCATGCATATTTGAATCAGGTATTTGTCAAAAGCACAGAGCAGGAGAGTGCAACTATGCATATTTGCACCAATTATGCATGAAGAGATGCAGAAGCTGAACAGCATCATAAATACTTAGGAAGCTGAAGTGTGGCTTCTCCAAATCATGTAGCTTGAATTCTGCTTCGCCCTTTCTAGTTTCAGAGACAAAGTCAAGATCATGTCCAAGTAAAACCCTTCGTACATGCTTTTCTAGACTTCAGAACTGCCTGGTTTACAGTGGAATCAGTCCAGTGCGTAATTCAAAATGAAGATTGTATAAATGACAGGAGAGTTTGTACCTCAAATTAGTATTCTGGTATTATAACCAGAGAGGACCAGCTGAAAATATTAATTTTAGTATCTTCTTTTTTAATATAGGAAATAATAAATTGACTGTCCTAACTCATGGTACAATGGCAATTCTCAGGCAGGTGTTCAGCTCCAGTAATACATCTGAAATATTAATTATCTAAACTTCCCCTGTTTAAGTTTTAACCCATTACCCCTTGTCCTATCACTACAGTCCCTAATGAACAGTGCATCCCCAGCATCCCTATGGAAGTATTTCTCTGAGAACTGATAGGATACTTTTCTTTACCTTATTTTCATTGCTAATTTTCATGGAAGTTCAATAATGAACTTTGGCATTTGAAATTCTGATTCCCATTTTATTGGATTACCTAGGATAATTCCCCTGTTTTCTTTACTCCTTGCAATAAAACCTGCATTTATTTAGTGGCCTAATAGGAAAAACTTTCAACCATAAACTTATTAGGAAGCGCCTGTAATTACATCTATATTGAAAAAAGCACCAATAAATAAACAAAAATAACCTAAATCAACAATAAACCAAAACAATTAAGAGCTAAACCATATAGTTATTCCCCTTACCCAGATAAAATTATATTCTGTCAGTGCTGAGAAAAGTAACATCAACATCTCATGTGGTGTATACCAGCACATTTCTTCTGGATTAAGAGTTGTGCTCACTTCCACCAACAGTTCTCAGCCTCTAACATGCTCAAGAATAAAGTATATTTGCTTCAGTTTAAAATCTTAACAAGTTTATTTAGTATTCTGGAACTGCACAGAGAAAATGGTAAGAGAGTGGAGCAGATACATTATTCCACACTGTTTAAACATTTCAGAGACTTTTGCATCTGGAATGGAGTGCTGAACAGCAAAAATCAGATGTTGCACCCTTAAGCAAATACCTTAACAGAGACTTTAAATAAAAAGGCAATAAACATACAAATGCATCAGATCACAAAGAATTACAGAGAGAAAAATTTCTCAGCTATGAATAGCAACTTTTCCCAGTTAATGATTAAATGATTCTCTGGATGATTAAATTCATCCAGAGAAACATTTGGGCACATTTCTACTTTTGAGCATATTTATTACAGAAGAAATAGGGTTTATGAACTGAAACTCTTTACAGTATCAAAAAACCCCACCCAAATTAATTATTTTAAATACAAGTGAAACATACAAAGGGAGAAAAACGCAATTCCAAATAATAATGGATTTTGCTCTTCTTAATATAAAGTTTTGAAAAAAACATCTGGAAAATAACTTAGAGGGGAAAGAAAAAACAGTAATGTCCATCTGTCTCTGGGTTTCAATATTCACTTTTCTATTTTCTTTCTTTTACTCTGGAACTGCACTGCATTTAGAACTTTCATTAACTGGAACACCACCAGGTTTTCAAACTGATTGTTTTTGCTTAAGAAGTCCAAAGTATTCTAATCTAAGTCCAAAGTATTCTAATCTGAATTTCCTAGGATGCCAGAATCATCATCTCATAAAAGAACAATTTGCCTTTTCAGCTAAAGAATCAGCTTCCTTCTGGCATTTTTATTTTAGTAAGCTGTTTCCATACTGTTGAGTCACATCCTTCTGCATAAAAATCCAGGAGCACACAATATTCTATAAAACCGGAACACAGACAGAAGCATAACTTTGAGAACATTTATTTCTTAAGTCTGAATTTCGTGAGAAATTAGATTGTCTGGTCTCTTCAAAAACTTCAAACTACTCAACATTAGCCAAGAAACTAAAGGAATAAGAAAGGAGTCTGTAAAGCTATCACCCCATTTTTAGCAAAAGAGAAGAGTTATTAACTCATGAACCTTACTAATAATCCTTAATGACTGGTATATATTAAAAGTTTAACAAGTTCTGCAATTCTTCATTTTGTAAGAATCAGAAAAGAACATACAGATCTATGATTTTATATTTGGCAAAGTGTCCTGGGTTCAGCAGCAGCAGTCATTTTTCTCCTTCTTAATAGCTGGTGCAGTGCTGTGATTTTGACTTTCAGCCTGGGAACAGCGCTGACAACATCAATGTTTTCAGTTACTGCTCAAATGTTTAGTCTGACCAAGGACTTTCCGAGTCTCATGCTCTGCCAGGGAGGAGGGGAAGCCGAAAGGAAGCAGAGACAGGACACCTGACCCAAACTAGCCAAAGAGGTATTCCATACCACAGCACATCATGCCCAGGATGTAAACTGGGAGCTACCCAGAAGGGCTAGCTCACTGCTCAGTCGGGCTGGGTATTGATGGGTCGTATTGCATTCTCTCCCCTTGTTCTTTCCCTTACCATTATTATTATTGGGAGTAGCAGTAGTGGGTTTGCGTTATACCTTAGTTACTGGACTGTTCTTACCTCAACCCATGGGAGTTATATTCTTTCGATTCTCCTCCCCGTCTCTCCAGGAGTTGGGGGGGGGGAGGAAGTGGGGGAGTCAGCGAGCGGCTGCGTGGGTCTGAGTTACTGATTACACTTAAATCATGACACTAAGATAATGGCATACATACAAAAATTATCCAACACAAGGAACTCTCCTCAGGGTACTAACAATCTACTGCAATTTTAAAAATAAGGTATGTATGGTTTACATGTTTTTTAAAACACAATTAAAAATAAAGGTCTTTTAAAAAAGTGGCAACAGATGTAGAACGAAGGAGTCCAGGACACGGACACTGAATAACAAAGCTAACATAATGCAGAATTAAATAATAACATAATATTCAATTATAATTGTAATTAATTGTATAATATTCATGCTAAACAACTTAGCAGCAATGTCAGCAAGTCTCATAGGCACCTGGACTACTTCAGAGGTACTAATGAATGTGAAATGTATATAAAGTTTATTTCATTTAGGGGCTGCATATAGATGTAAGATCATTCAGACCCTTCAATCATGCATAAAAACGGTAGAGAAAGGGATGGAAAACAGGATCTTGAGGCAGTGCCTTCCAGCTTCTTGAGTGGCTGCACCAAAGGAACAAGCAGTTTCTTGGACAACTCAGATGTTAATTAATAACCAGACGCTGACATTTTACAGCCAGGAAACAATGACAGCACAAAGACAGTTGGTGTCTGTCACGTTGTGGGGCATTCTGTCACAGGAAATAGTTCATTTGTCTGCAGAAAAGTTATCATGAGGGAAATAAAATTTAATCCAAAGTCCCTTAAAATTGCATTGCAGAGACATAGCATTCATTCCCAGAACAGTGGCAGCATCATATTCAGAAAAGGAAAATGGAAAACAAACCAACCTTAGCTTCCTGAACTAGTTCTGCTCACATTATCTCATGACAAAGAAACATACTTAGCCCCCAGAACAGCATTTTCAGGTTATGCCAGTGTAGCCTTTACTTATTTATCAACAAACCAAAAAGCATGCAGATTTAGGCTGTGACAGTTTCAATGAGACATCTGCAGCAGCAAGGCCGCTGGCATTGCCCCTCTGCCTGAAGTTGGTGTCCTGCAGTACAGCTGGCAGAAGCAACATGTGTGAGCACTACTCAGCTGTCACAGACTGAAGGTTGTCAGCGTAACCCAGGCTGATGAATCACAGACATGGATGTATGATATGAAATACCCAGAGGGTCATAGTGTTTTCAAGCACTTTGGATGTCAGCAGAAGTAATGCAGACAGAGGCTTCAGATAAGAGATACTGTCACAGAACCTTCAATTTTTGTGTATTTTCCTGATTGAACAGAATAAAAGACACTGCCATCTCTTCTCTAAGTCAGTGCTTTTCTGTGTCTTTTACATTCCTAATCTAACTGCCGCAACTCCCAAGTAAGAGATAGAAAATGTACCTATTTCAGCAGTAGTGTCTACTTAGTGTTTTGCTCTACCATACTTACTTTTATACCTTCTTTGGGATAATGTGAGAGCTTGGTCAACTTGCAGGTCTTCTGCTTCATTGAAAACAATGGGATGGCCTGTGACACAATGAGCTCTCTATCAGCTTTTCCTCTGCACTTTGATTTTACCCTTAAGTTTTCTTAAGATGAAGGTTTGACCTGACCTGACCTTTTGAAACTACCACTCATATTTACGTTTACTCTGAGCCAAATGCACATCACAAAACCTCACTACATTTGACTTGCACTATATGTACTCATATAATGAATAATTGCAACCTCCAGCTGGATATTTGTTTTAAAATTCAAACACGTGATTACTATGTGTTACTCTGGTTTCTCCTATAATGTTTCTGTAATTTCACTTGTTTAAGTACTCTTTAGTCTGGACCTCAGCATACAACTATGAGAAACCAAGGTTTAAATGGTCATTGATCAGCAGAAAGATATATAGAAATATCCAATTACATTGATCTTTGAGAAATGTTGGTAATTTTAAGCTCAACTATGATCTTTTCTTTTTGTGAAGTACAGCACTAACTTTTCTGCGTGATTATGTTCTGCAAATACACTTGCCAGATACTGGTTTAACTGTTAATTATGACACAGTTATCTATGATGCAGAGAGAAGGTTAAGAAACCAACAATGAACAATGCAATGACCACAGCACTACACGAAATGTTGTAGACACAGTCACTGGTTGGCCTGCCACAGACTATCAGGATACTCAGACAATTATTTCAGCATTTGAAGTTTGCACTTACCAACCTCCACAACGTTAGAGCAATTGGGGTCTGAGAAGCCTTCAGGACACTCGCACGAGTAGAAGTCATCATTCAGCCCTGACAGACAGATGCCACCATTTTTGCATGGGTTGGAGTCACATGCATCTCCTATGGAGTGAAAGAGAGATTCCTTTACAAAACTCTCAAAAAGTTATGCACAAGCTACAAGTATGGCAAATGGCTGATAACCAAGAACAGAAAGGAACGACTAGCTCTATGTCTTTTGGATACCTTTTGGCTAATTTCATTTTGTATTTATTTAACAGCAAACCTCTGTGTAATTAATCATCTTCCACTAGCCTTTTGCTCCACAAAATATGAAACTTTCAGATGCACTGACAGCTATTTACTTGTAAAACCTAACAAAAAATAATTTTTTGCTTTCTCTCATTTGAAATCATTCAGGATATATACTGAAAGGTATTTCCCCATGATTTGAAAAACTGAACGGTGGTTTCAGTTCAGGCTATTGACTTATCACCTAGCTTGTAAGCAGAGAACTGTGGCTGTTGTTACATCATCATGTGCTCCAGACTTAAGACACTCTTAAATCACCCAGTGGCATAGATCTGATCCAAACCAGCCACTGGCATGCAGCTGTATTTCTGCTGAACATAGAGCATGGCATTCAGGCCACCAGTGTGCTTCTGTGTTGGCTTTATGTCATTCACACAAAGACCAATTATGTGTGATCCCAGGATGAAGTTTGACAGTACAAAGTAAAGCCACTACAGTCTCTTGAGCAATTTTATTTTACCCAGTCAACGATATTTGATCTGGAACCGTTTAACTGGAGCTGCTTTATGTTCACACAGTGCCTGAGGGAAGCTTTCACTATGACTTGTGACCCACCAACTCCATGGCAGGGATGGAGACTGAAGAGTAGCCACAGTCCCTCCAGTGCTCCTTGACAGTCTCCTTCCTGTTCCAAGGAAGTATATAAAAGTCTCCCATAACTCATCTTGATTGCTGAATCAGAACAAATCAGTCAGAAATAGAGCCATGCTTCACTTCAAAACTATGCTATGAACTAGCTATGCTTCAAAACTCACAATAGAGGGCAAGCATTGGCACAGTGGGTAAGATCAGCCTGCCTGAACAAGCAGATTTTGCTCATTTTTCAATTGCGCTTCGGTGATTTCACCCTACTCAGTTAATTAGCATCAAGGTGATCAACAGGAGAAACACGCAAGCTCTGAAAGATGCTCCACAGGGCTGCTTGGTATGGTCAGAACTTGAACATGCCTCCAACATTACCAGCATGTACAACACAGTATTGTGACTTCCTATCTAGGATTATTCAAAACAGCCTTCAGGAGGAGATATAAAAGAGAACAGAGTGTCTGTTCAACTCTTGCAATTCCTCAGTTTTAATGCTTTTAAAGAACCCCTCCATATGACAGTTCTATAGACACAAAGAAATACAGGATTGTATGGTGTCACCAGCAGAAAAACTGGAAGCAACCCTAAAGAATGCCCTAGGCTTTGGTCAGCTTCAATTTAATATTTTTCTCTCAGCTAATAAAATATGTATTTGTCTATATTTTTATTTATCTCAAGCTTTACTTTATAAGATGGATCTGTGCAGTACTGGTTTTAACACTAAAATTAGTTTGCATAGTACCATTTTGTTTTGCACAATTTTTGCATCTGCAAAACGTGCAGGTAGGTAAATATAAAAAAATAAGTACCTTTTGTGTGTGTCATTTTTAAATTGAAAAGTTGCCAGCCTTTTGCCATGTAAGTGTAAAGAGTTACAGAAATCCACTTGTTTATGTCAGACATTGTAATACATTTTTGACTACAGTGTTAGTAATGGACCTCAAATTGTTTTAAATGCTTTTCTGGTGGCTAGACTTCAGATTGCTGCCTGCTGTGATAATTCTAATCTAACAATCACTTAAGAAATGTAACGGATATTTTTATTTAATTTTACTCTTCATATTTAAGCTGCTTTCACAACACAAAGAATTGTCACATGCTTGGTTTAAACAGTTTGGTCTTGAAGATTGTCCACCTGACAGAGAAGTTGAGCTATTTGAAAACAGTAAATGACACAAGGTACTATCTATCTAATTACTCGACATTGTCTGTCTTTCTAATTGAATCTAAATAAGTTTCATTTTCAGTGCTTGCTGCCTTTTTGGGGTAGCAAAGGATGCTTGATTTCTTACTTCATGGGTCTTAGGCATTTGGTTGTAAAAGAACAACTACTATTAACTGAATGCTCTAACAACCGCATTCCCATACTTTACATTAATTTTATAAATTACACAGCGTCTGCAGTAGGAACACTTCTTGCACAAATCCATATGGGTATTTTTAAAATGAAAAGGGACATTTTTGTTACCTGTTTCCTGATTCAGTGTTCTTCTGATTTCAATTACACAACAGAAGAAAGAAAAAGCAAAACAAAAAGGCAAAATACTGGTTTTATTTGTAAGTTTTCCATTGACTGACAAGCGGAACCATCCCCAGTTTTCTATTATGTTTATAGAAACTGAAATCTCCTGCTATAACTAACTGTGTGATTTTCATTTGTCTGAAAACTCATGTTGGCTTTTTCAGTCTGAATTAATGTGACCTGACCTACAGTTTGGCACTAATGAAGTAGATGATGATGCTCTAGCAGTAATTTATTTCCATGTTCAGCAAACAGCTGCACTAAGTGCTCTCTTGACCCACTCCTTTGGTTCAAACTCTACTGCCAGTCACTGGTTTACACTTTTAATTGTCAGTATATGGCATCTCAGAAATAAAATTACTACAGCATACCTCTGAGGAAAGTGGGACACAACAAAAAAACAAACAAACAAGCAAAACCCTGTCATGGTTTAAACCCAGTCAGGTAACTCGTTCATTCACTCCCCCCCGCCTTCTTTCCCTCCCCCTACTCCCGAAGGGATGGAGAGAAGAATCAAAAGAATGCAACTCCCACGGGTTGAGATAAGAACAGTTTAGTAACTAAGGTATAACACAAATCACTACTGCTACCACCAATAATAATAATGATAAAGGAAATAACAAGGGAAGAGAATACAACACCTCACCACCAGCCAACCGATAACTCGCCTCCCCAGCCCGACCAAGCTCTGACCGATACCTCCTCCAACCCCGCAGTCTCCCAGCCCTTCCGGCTAACTCTCCGTTACATCCTGGGCATGACGTGCTGTGGTATGGAATACCTCTTTGGTCACTTTGGGTCAGGTGTCCTGTCTCTGCTTCCTCCCAGCTTCCCCTCCTCCCTGGCAGAGCATGAGGCTCACAAAGTCCTTGGCCAAACCAAAACATCCTTGTTATCAGCTCTGTTCCCGAGCCGAAAGTCAAAACACTGCACTGCACCAGCTACCAAGGAGGAGAAAAATGACTGCTACTGCTGAACCCAGGACAAACACCAAAACAAAAAACAAAACAAACAAACAAAAAACCACAAAAAGCTCCAACAAAACCAAACCAACCAACCAAACAAAAAAAAACACAAAACAACACACTAAACAACAACAGAGAAAAAAATCCCAAAACATCCTAGCCTGTTTCATTCCTGTAATGATAAAGAGGGTTAAAGAGGGAAAATCTATACTTTGAACTTGAACAATGGTTAAAATAATACTCTAGTATGATGGCAAATATGACGCAGTCAGAGAAACAAGCAACTGCACAGACACAAGCGAGCAATAATTCTGCTTACAACTAGACATCAGGCTGTGCAAATTTGCATACTTAAACTAGTAAAACTCACTTAAAATGTTAGTACCCTTACTTATGACTTAGTGTCTGTGGTATTGTGCATATCAAAAAAAAAAATCACCTTTGAATCAACAGTATTTCCCTCAATTTATATTTTGTTCCTCTCAAGAAGCCATTCACGTTGAAATACTGAAGTCTAATTTGTTACACATTCTAGTGAGTCTGATGAACAGAATTTTACTTTGAAGGCTCTGTTCCTAATAAGAAAAACTTATATGTGTGCATTTTGTCTTAACACAACTGATTAAGGGATTTGTTATCATTAAAATACTGTGCTGCTTAAGACATAACTTTTAAACACAACAGTAGTTTTAGAATTTAACCTCAGAGTCATGGTGAAAGGAACAGTAAAAGAAACCCAGAGAAAGAACTGAAGCCTTTACAGCAACTCTTACAGAATGGTGCTCTCTGTTGCAGACTTTCAACATGGTAGTTTATGATAGGCTGTGTTTGTGCAACAAACTGTGCAATTTGACAAATTTCTATAAATTAAACAAACATTCTAAGAGGATCTCCATTGTTTAAAAAGTACCAATGAAGGCCAATTAAAATAATAATTTTATTAAATTGTTCTGAAAGGGGTCCAGTAAGAATGAAAATGTCAAATAGAAACAGTAATTCGTGGTCTTCTTTACTATGTTTGATTAACCCCACACTTTTCATTGTGTGGCTACCCAAACATTAAAGTATGCCTCAAGACTGGATATAAAATAGGTACTACGAATACTGCTGCCTTTACTCATTCTCAGGAAAATCCTGGACAGCAAAATCTCATTGCATCAAGCTACTGAGGTTTGGTGAAAGGATCTGTGAAACAGAATCAGCGAAGGGTACACTCACATGCTGCTCCCCCCAGTTGGCAGAACTCATGACCCCTTTCCATTTACCTCAGATTTTGAAGTTATGTTATATATATATAGAATCACAGAATCATAGAATCATAGAATAGTTAGGGTTGGAAAGCACCTTCAGATCAGCTAGTTCCAACCCCCCTGCTGTGGGCAGGGACACCTTATGCTAAATCATATCACCCAAGGCCTCGTCCAACCTGGTCTTGAACACTGCCAGGGGTGGAGCATTCACAACCTCCCTGGGCAACCCATTCCAGTGCCTCACCACCCTAACAGGAAAGAATTTCCTTCTTATATCCAACCTAAACTTCCCCTGTTTAAGTTTTAACCTGTTACCCCTTGTCCTGTCAGTACAGTCTCTAATGAAGAGTCCCTCTCCAGCATCCCTATAGGCCCCCTTCAGATACTGGAAGGCTGCTATGAGGTCTCCACGCAGCCTTCTCATTCTCCAGGCTGAACAGACCCAACTTCCTCAGCCTATCTTCATATGGGAGGTACTCCAGTCCCCTG